GTTCAGCTCTTCTTGTGTAAGGCCCACTTCATTGATGTTCTCAAAGCAACTCCTCTCTTGAGACTCACCTACATAGTGTATAGGCTTTTGAGTGGCAACCAGGGCTTTGTCAAGCTTGATATGCAGCTCTTTGATCTTCTCTTCCAACCTTTGTTAAGTACTAGAGTCCTCACATCTGTTGGCTCTATCAAAGTCTTCTCCATAGGTGTCTTGGCTCATGGCTAAGTTCTTAACAAGTTCCATGGCTACAGTGATTTCTTTTGCCAAGAAATTCCCATTTGATGCTGTGTCCAACTGATTCCGGATCTTGGGAACAGCTCCTCTATACAAAGTGCTAAGGAGAGAGGCTTCTGAAAAGCCATGATGTGGACACTGATTTGTGTAGCTTCTAAACCTGTCCCAAGCTTCTCCAAAGGTCTCATTAGAATGCTGAGTGAAGTTTGAAATCTGGTTCCTTAGCTTGGCAGTCCTTGAGCTTGAGAAGAACTTAGATAAAAAGGCAAGCTGGCATTGCTCCCCAGTTTGGATTGATCCTCTTGGAAGGTTCTTCTCCCACTGGTGTGCCTTATCCCCAAGGCTGAATGGAAACTATCTCAGTTTGAAGTTGTCTTCAGATACCCCATTGATCTTTGTGAGATCACAAACTATGTCAAACTGATCTAGGTGCTCCAAGGGATCCTCCATAGGTAAGCCATGGAACTTCTGATTCTGCACCATACTGATCAAAGAAGCTTTGACTTCAAAGTTGTTGTTCTGCACAGGAGGTGGCCGGATTCCTGCTCCATACTGGTGTGCATAAGCTCGTTCATTCTCACCAACAAAGACTGGTGGTGGCTGATGACGTATGGGTGGGTTTGGGTGGGGCTGTGGTGGATTAACCTGAGGTTGGTCTTGGTGCTGGTTACCCTGAGCTTGTCCCTGATGGACCGGAGCTTGTTGAACCTAAATTCCAATCCCATTACCAGCTCTTTGACCGTGATCAGCTTCTTGAGCCTGATGCTCATTCCCAACTTGCTGATCCATTCCTAACCTTTCCAAGTGAACAGCTCTTTCTCTTTGTCTTCTTGTTTGGCTTCTTGTGATCATAAACCTGAAAACAAAGACAGAACTTGAAAGGTGATCAGTAAAACAAAAGAAACTTGATCTCAAAAACTATATCAGAAACTAATGCTAACAATGCCCACAAAATATGGCAACGGCGCCAATTGATAAGTAAGATTTTTAGGTCTTAGATAGGTTATCAATCCCTTATGTCACTTGCAGTACAAAGGGTATCAATCCATATATGTGGTAGTTAGGCACTAGTTTATGTGACAAGTTCTTAAGTCAAGTGAGACAAGAAAGGTTTTTGGTGGTGACAAGAAACAAGAAAGCATATAAAACAAGAAACAAGCAAGCAAGATGATTAACTACTAAACAAAGCAAGCAACCAAACAAGATAATGATAAAGCAAATGATGAAAGATAAACCTCTAGATGTGATAATTGATTAGGGTGCTTTAGATACTGATTCATGATGCTAAGAACATAATGCAACACTTGTTACTCTTTAGTCTAGGCTTCTTAATCAGATTAATCCACTCTCATGATAGAAATCCCTTTGCAAATCACTTAATCAAGTCTAACAACCATTAGAGATAACAAGCAATCAGCAAGCATAATGTTCCAAGCCTAATAAGTGACCAAACAATCTTTAACAAAGAAAGACTGAATCTTTTACAGAAAGACATAACAAGCAATCACATGTTCTCAAAACATTTTAACTTAGAACTCTAATCTAGATTAATCCTCTCATGAAGGCATTAACCTCTACACTAATCCATTTTCAAACCAAATTCTCATTTGTGAAATATGAATCAATGAGCATTGAGAAACAGTTCTAATATGTCATTTATGCTTCAAACAAACATTCCATTTAAAACATAAAACCTTAAGTTAGCTCTTTCAGGCATTTCATCAAACACTTTTGGTGCATGAAATGCCTATGAACCCAGATTTCACTTTCCCAAGGAAATCTGGCATTAGGAGCAGCTAACTAAGGAAATAAAATGAGAATCTAGAACCTAAACATCACAAATCAAACATCTAAGCACCCTAATCTACACACCTAGAAGCTTAAAAGAAGACTACTCACTAATCATGATGAACACACCATTTCCTTTGCAAGAGGTGATGTTAATCATGATTAGAAGTTAAGATGAGATGAAGAAATGATAAGAAACAGCTTTAAGATGATTAAATCTGCTAGATATCTCTTGATCAAACTCGTTTTTACACTGAAAAGGAAAGAAAACAAGAGAGAAAACTAAGAGAGAAGATAACCTTTAGGGTTTTTCTCCCAAAAAACTATTTATACTAAGGGTCTTGGACCGGGTCAGCCCAGGACAAACTGGGTACTGACCCGGCTCAGTAGGGTCTGGTGGCTGGTGTGCGAGATGGTCACGTCCATGGCTGACCCGCACACCCATCTCGCACCAAAAGAAGCTCAAGACTCCTAGATGGTCAAGTCTCTTCTCAGCCGCACATCCATCTAGCACTTCATCTTGGCATGTTCTTGTGCAGCTCAGTTCAGCTCCTTTCCCACTCGCAAGACCAGGTCGCACAATCCAGAATGTATATGTGCGAGATGGTCACTTCCTTGCCCAAGTCGCGTGCCCAAGTCGGTGTAATTTGCGAATACATGTGCTACATGGTTCCACTTCATGTCCAACTCGCAGGCCTATCTTGCACAGCATTGTGGACTTACTCTAATTTGATTCTGGAAGTCTCTACCTTGCTCAGAGTCTCCTTACACTCATCTCTAAAATCTCAACTTGTTTCCAGAGCGTTGAACATTCATGGGTGCGAGTTAATCAAGTCACAGTACCGTATCGCACAACCTAAGCCTTCTCAGACCACTTTGCATTCAGGGGAGAGTAACTTCCAGGATATGGATCCAAATGGCATTATTTCAACTGAATTGGAAAGAGAACTCAAATATCGCGAACTTTGGTGAAGGAACCCTCAGCGCTTTGGAAGTGGAAGGTTCCCCGGAGGGCTCATCTTTGCAGTACATTGACACGGTCAGAAAGAGGCTTCTAGACATGTGTCCATTCCGGAAACGTTATCTTCTTGATCATGGCTCAAAATTGAATGATCTCAAACGTTCTGGAAAGAGGACTTAAATATCTCAAATCTTCATGACGGACCTGTAGACTGAATCGGTCTGGAAGCGCATTTTCCTTCGCAATCTTCGGAGCTCATTGGGTCGGTCCTGAAACTGTCGCGAGACAGGTGTATCTTCCGGTGAGCTTAACTCTCATCTCACAACTGAAAATCCTATGATTCGACCTATTCTGGGACCGTGACTTGATCATCTCCAACTTTGGTGAAGGGTTCGGGTTCAGGTGACGTCGGCAAGGGCTCCGTTCCACCGGTTCTTTGATGCGCGTTGCTTTGGTCCTTTATCCGCTCCGAGACATGTACTGCTTCTTATCGCCGTAAATTTCCACTCAAAACTGAAAATAGGACGATCTAAAGTGTTATGGCAACTAGACTCGACGCTCTTGATTCTTTATGAAGACTCCGGAGGCTGAATCCTGGTGAAAGTCCTCCTTCTCAGGTGATCAAGTTGAGGGATCGTCTGCTCCATAACACTTGTCCGAGTCTGATGCACATAAGGTGATGGTCTCTCCATGGCTTTTGTCCCAATTGCTCCCAATTAGCTCCAAATGACCTGTAAACACTCCAAAAGTGCAAAACTCTCTAGGACCTAATGCAATTCCTAACTAAAGACAAAAACAAAGACAAATATATGTAAAACTACCTAAATGTATGCATGAGACTCAATATTTGGACAAAAATGCAATCCTAAATATGAGAAAATATGAGTATATCAGTTTAGTGAAGTCTTTTTTCAGTCTTGTTTTTTTGTCACTAGTTTCAGTGTGATGTGATCATGTTATGTGTTTTGAGCCTTTGTATTGCAAGGTTTCAGTTGTGTTGGGTCATTGTGATCATGTAATGGGTTTGTTTTTTAATATGATTGTGGATTTCTTTCTTCTTGTTCTGTTTTTAATATGATTGTGGTATCTTGTTATCATCTAAACTGATCATGCGGTTTAATATCTTGCAGGACACCAAGGAGGCAGGGACAAAGGCTAATGTCATCGGTTTTTTTAGTCTTCAGGCCACTGGTTTTAGTGTTTGTGTTTTAGGTTTAGCATTTGGGTTTTGTGGAATAAAAAAAGAGGCAGGGCCAAATAGCACATGGGTTTTGGGTTTAGCATTCAAGGTTGTGATAGTTTTGTGGCAACTTTTGCCGACGTTATTGATCCCACTTCTTTTTGGCCGATTTTTTTGGCCAAGTATTTTGACAGTTCATTTTGTTGGCTTTGTATTTGGGAGCCACAAATATTATTTTGTATTTATATGTCCACACCACTCATTTTTTTCCTTTTCCTCAAAAGTACAATACAGTCGATGCTTTATAATGTCCACCACATAATTATGAAAGGTGTAAACTCATTAATCTTCTCTATATATAGACTCAACGAATCACTCTTCTCTCCTTCAAATACAATCTCTTTATTTTTCTAAACATATTATTCTCTTCAACATCAACTTTCTTTTTTCACAACAAAACACCATACAAAATGGCATCTTCTTCCCATAATAATTTCGATGATTTTATGGATGAAAAAATGGACCAAGCTTTCGATCAAGCATTTGAAAATATATTTGTTGATCAGAGTGATCATCAAAGAGCAACCAAGAAAAAAAAGATCCTATATTGAGAGAGAAAGGGAGCAAGACTACATCCGTTTATGGAACGACTATTTCCGGGATGATGCAACATATCCACCCTATATATTCCGACGTCGTTTCAGAATGGACAAACCTCTGTTCATGCGTTTTATTAAAGGCCTCTCTACTCATGTTCCATTCTTTCAACAAAGAAGAGATGCTACAGGAAGATCTAGTCTCTCTGCACTACAAAAATTTACAGCAGCCATTCGTATAATGGCATATGGTTGTGCAGCTGATGCAGTTGATGAATACCTCCGGCATGGTGAAAGCACTGCAATTTCTTGTTTGGAACATTTTGTAGAAGGAGTTATATATTTGTTTGGAGACGAGTATCTAAGAAGACCCACCCCAGAAGATCTTCAACGCCTACTAGATCAAGGAGAATATCGCGGATTTTCCGGGATGATAGGAAGCATCGATTGTATGCATTGGGAGTGGAAAAATTGTCCCACTGCTTGGGCCGGACAATTCACACGAGGATCTGGAAAACCGACAATCGTTTTAAAGGCTGTAGCTTCACAAGATCTTTGGATATGGCACGCATTTTTTGGACCTCCAGGTACCTCAAATGATATTAATGTTCTTGATCGTTCACCGGTATTTGATGATATATTACAAGGTAAAGCTCCGAAAGTGAATTACTTTGTCAACGGACGACAGTATCACTTGGCTTACTACCTCACTGATGGAATTTATCCAAAATTGGCTACATTTATCCAATCTATTAACCTTCCAGAAGGTGACAAAGCATGCTTATTTGCACAACGTCAAGAATCTGCTCGTAAAGATGTCGAGCGTGCTTTTGGAGTCTTGCAAGCTCGGTTTTCCATTGTCAAAAATCCAGCTCTGATGTGGGATAAGGTGAAAATAGAAAAGATTATGCGAGCATGTATAATACTTCATAACATGATCGTAGAAGACGAACGAGGTGGGTACTCTCTGTATAATGTTGAAGAATTCACACAAGTACAAGCAAACAGAACTTCACATGTGGATATGACGTATTCTACCGATATTCCTTCAAATCTCACTAATGTTATGACCATCCGTAATTCATTGTGTGCTCGAACTACGCATGATCAATTAAAAGAAGATTTAGTTGAGCATTTATGGAATAAGTTTGGTACAACTCAAGATTACAATTAATCTTATTATTTCCGGTTTATGATTTGCATCTCTCTTTTGTTTTGTTTTTCTGTATTCTATGTCTAAGTTTGTATTAATAAAATGTTTGTATTTAAAAAATTACAAAAAAAATTATTAGAGCCTCCCTTAAGAGACTACCATTGGACACTAAACCAATGATAAAATCAATATGGGGCTCTAGTGCATTAAAATGAATAAAAACTGTTAAAGTTAAAATTAGAACCCCTTGTTAAAGACTACCATTGGAGGTGGTCTACGTAACCTCAAGAAACGCATTGTTGCCAGAAAGACAAGATGGGCGGAAGAGTTACCAGCAATTCTCTGGGCATGTCGAACTACTCCCCATAAAGCTACTAGTGAGACCCCATTCTCTCTAGCCTATAGCCTCGAGGCAGTAGTTCCTGCGGAAATTTTTGTAATCAGCCAAAGAAAGACCTTGTGTCCAGACAACGCGGAACTCAACGAAGATGCTCTTCGAGACCATCTGGATCACATTGACGAACGTCGAGATCAAGCAATGATTAGGATCCAAAACTATCAGCGAACTGTAGTGATGCTGCCAATGATTTATTTTGCGGCTTCATGTTTTAATTTATAACCCTAGTATTCTGCAAGTGCACAGCAGTGCATTGTAGGACTTAGGGTATCCACGCTTTATCCATAGAGAAAATCCACGCTTCACCTGCAGAACCTTAGAACTAGAATTAGTAAACGAAGTCTAAAACGAAAAAACAGTGTTTTGGATAGGTTGTTACGATTTATACATGTATGTTAAAAAAGAATTTTAAAAAGGGTTTTAAAACTAAACTAGAAGTGAATAAATCGATGTTTAATATAAAGGATGTCTACAGGATATGATCGATTCAAATCGCGTAAAACAAAGGTCTTATAATTGATCCTAGTAAATTCTTAAAACTCGAGCCATGATGGTATGACTACGCCACTCTTGTGGTCATAACCAACTGTCTCTCACAACCCTGGCCAGTAGGTTTTCACTCTGGCCCTGGAAGAGAGAAGACGCAGGAACTTGCACAAAACTCGTTGATATACTCATATTTTTTCATGTTTAGGATTGCATTTTTGTCCAAATATTGAGTCTCATGCATACATTTAGCAATTTTTATTAGAGTTTGTCTTTGGTTCTAGCTTTGTTTAAGAATTGCATTAGGTCCTAGAGTGTCCTGCATTTTTGGAGTATTCTCAGGTCATTTGGAGACTTTTGGGAGCAACTTGGAGCTGGGATCATGGAGGAACCCTCACCTGTGTACAGCAACTCGGACAGATGGTTTGGTGCCGACGAGACCTAAAATTTGATCGCACGAAGGACTTGCAATGCGATTCAACCTCCAGTGTCTTCATCAAGAATAAATAGGAATGAGTCTAGTTTCCGGAACACTTGAAATCAGACGATTTGGAGCCGTGAACTGGGAGATATCGCCATCGGAAGGAACACATGTCTCGCGGCCCGATCAGGACTTACGCGATGCGCCTCAACGAACCGACGAGACGGGGGCTTTGCCGATGTCATACGGGGTCAAGCCCTTCACCAAACTTGGAGCTAAGGACGCAATCTGGTTTGTGGAGTTGGAAGATCGAGGTTCGGACCAGTGAGAAAGGATTTGTGAAGGATTTGGTGCAAGCGGTCTACATTCATATCGAGAAGGAGTACCGACCAAAATCTGGTCGATATTACCTTGGAACCTTGACGTTTTTGGCTGGCTTTTGGAAGCCAAATTTCTGAAGAATTATCGACAAGCTGCACCAACTGAATCCTGCTCGGTATTGATCCCCTGAAGCTATCCTTAACGCCGCACCGAGGTGAGTTTAGCCGGTGTAGTGTCTTGGTGTAACCAGTCTCAAATTGCCGAAGAAATATCGACGTCTTGCACCGGCCAAAATCACCTCGATACATTCTCGCTTCATGACGTTTTTGTGGGCCTTTTTGGGGCCAAAACCTAGTTTTTCCTAGGTTGGCACAGCAAGAAACCCTACCTATATATATGTTTTAGGCATTATCCAGCAGACTAAGCTTTATTCTTTTTTTTTTTCTTTGCCTCTTTTGTGAAAGACCTAAACTTTGTAAGAGAGATCTTCATTTTCTGGGTTTGAATCAAGAGAGTAATTAGGGTTTAAAGCTGAAATCCATCATTATCTATCATCTCCATCTTCATCTTCCATCCCTTTGTGAGTTTTAATCAAGATAGATTGAGAGATTTCTGTGTTTAAAACTGCAAATCCATCATCATCCACCTTCTCCATCTCCATTTCTCATCATTAATCATGCCAATCTTCTCAACTTGCAAAGGTTTAAGACTGATTAGTATGATTAGTGAGTAGTTTACCTTAATGAGGTTTTAGATGTGTAGGTTAGGGTGCTAAAGTGTTAGATTAGGATTGCTTAGGGCTAGATTCATTGATTCATCTCTCTATACAGCTGTTCTCTAGGCTAGATCCTTGCACATCACTTGTGATCTAGATTCTGAGAATTTCATGCACCACAAATGTTTGATGAAATTCCTGAAAGAGCTGTATTAGAGGTTTAAGCATTTGCTGCATGATGATGTCTTGTTATTTGTTTGAATGATCTTTTAGAACTGTTTCTTAATGCTCATTGATTCATATTTCACAAATGATTATTTGGTTTGAAAATAGATTAGTGTAGAGGTTTATGCCTTCATGAGAATATAAATCTAGATTAGAGTTCTAAATCATTTGAATCATGTCTCATCATTGTCATTAGCATTTCTGGTTTAGCACCAAAGCACCCTAGCCAACTATCATGTCTAGAATCTCATGCTTCCATCATCTCATATTCACATCATTTTTCATTTGCTTAGTTCTTGTTTGATCATTTCTTTAGTTATTAATCTTGTTTTAAATACTTAGTTGTCATTAGTCAATCAAAACCTCACCTGTTTACTTGAATTGAGAAACTGATCACATAGCTTAGTGTTTATCACCACATTCTTGGATTGACAACCTCTTTTGTGCTACTTTGACGAGGGGATTGATAGCCCTAAGACCCAAAAAGTCTTGTCTATCAATTGATGCCGTTGCCAAAGTGTGGTTTGTTTAGCATTAGGCTCTGATCTGTTCTTGAGATCAAGTACTTATTTTTTGTTTTTACTGACTACTTTCAAGTTCTGTTTTTGCTTCCAGGTGTATGAACACCAGGTCCAGATCAAGAAGTTGTGGTCCACCTTTCCCTCTAAACGACAACATCAATCTTTTGGTTCCAAAAAGAAGAAGGGATAGGCGTGGAAGACAGACTAATCAGGCTGATATGGAAGATCAGAGACTGCATGTGGTTGACATTGAGCCGCAGGTTTAAGAGGGGCAACAGGCTCAGGTGCAGCAGGGCAATGGAGCGGTAATGCCGCTGGTAATGGAGCTGGTAATGCAGCTGGAAATGGAGCTGGTAATGGAGCTGGTCAAGGGTTCCATCAGGGTAATGTTCAGCAGGAACAGGTGCATCAACAGCAAGCTTATGTCCACCAGGGACAAGCTCCAGCTCATCAGCAAAGGCACCAGGCCAATGTACAGCAAAGACAACAAGCTCACCACCAACAGCCCTTCCAAAACCAACCAAGGAGATATGAGCAGCCACAGGTCTATGTTGGAGAAAATGACAGGGCCAATGCTCATCAGTATGGAGCAGGAATTCAAGCACCACCTGTGCAAAACAACAATTTTGAAGTCAAGGCATCTTTGCTGAATATGGTCCAAAACTCCAAGTTCCATGGATTACCAATGGAAGATCCTTTGGAACACTTGAACCAATTTGATAAAGTTTGTGACTTGACAAAGATAAATGGAGTATCTGAGGACAGCTCAAGCTCAGATTATTCCCCTTCAGTCTTGGTGACAAAGCACACCAATAGGAGAAGAATCTTCCAAGAGGCTCCATTCAGACTTGGGAGCAATGCAAGCAGGCATTTCTGTCTAAGTTCTTCTCAACTTCCAGAACAGCAAATCTAAGAAACAAAATCTCCAGCTTCACTCAACATAGCAATGAGAGTTTTGGTGAAGCATGGGAGAGATTCAGGAGCTACACCAACCAATGTCCACACCATGGGTTTAGTGAGGCTTCTCTTCTTAGCACACTTTATAGAAGGGCTCTTCCCAAGATAAGGAATCAACTGGATACTGCATCAAATGGAAACTTTCTGGCGAAGGAGATTCATGCTGCTTTAGAGCTGGTTGAGAACTTAGCAATGAGCAATGATATATATGGAGAAGACTTTGATAGAGCCAATAGGAGTGAGAGTTCAAGCAGGGATCAAAGGTATGAGAAGGACTTTAAAACACTTGAAAGCAAGCTGGACAAGGTGTTATTGACCACTCAAAAGCCAATGCACTTTGTAGGACAGTATGAGGAACCTTCTCAACGCTTTGTGAACATCAGTGAAGAGGGTCTTACTCAGGAAGAGCTAAACTATATTGGGAATCAGAGGTTCCAAAGATACCAGTATGCCAATGCCAATCAGAACCTCTTTTACAGGAATCCCAATGTAGCCAACCCACAAGACCAAGTTTACCCTACCTCTCAAGCTCCACAGAATTTTGTTCTTAAGAACAACTTTCAAGGGTCTTTTCAACGAAAGAATCAGTTTGTTCAGAATCAGGGTTACAGTCAGGATCAGCAACCACTTCAGGGTTCTAGTTTCAGTTCACAGCAGCAGCCAAAAGCACCACCAGGGTTCAGTGCACCATAGTTTCAGCATCAGGCATCGATTCAGCATCAGTTTCAGTCAGCACCGGTTCACCAGCAACAGCAGATGGGGGCGGATATGGTTGGGATTCTACAACAGCTGCTTCAGGGTCAACAAGTGTTTGCAAGTCAGTATGCATCTATGCAGCAGGACATGAAGATGCTGAAACAGAATCAGGCATCCACTTCAAGAAGCCAAGGTGGCTTACCTGGTAAGCCTGAACCAAACCCGAAGGAGTATGCTAAAGCCATTACATTGAGAAGTGGCAGAGAGCTACTAGGTATAGAG